GGGTCACTCACTAAAACAGGGATAACGGGAATAAATCGGGAATAACGGGATCAATGGGATCAATGGGGCTCCGTGCCCACGTAGCACAGGGAGGGGTCACTCACTAAAACAGGGATAACGGGAATAAATCGGGAATAAATCGGGAATAACGGGATCAATGGGGCTCCGTGCCCACGTAGCACAGGGAGGGGTCACTCACTAAAACACGGATAACGGGAAAAAATTGGGAATAACGGGATCAATGGGGCTCCATGCCCACTTAGCACAGGGATGGGTCGCTCACTGCCATGGGATAACAGGATATTGGGAATTATGGGATCAATGGGATCAATGGGATCAATGGGGCTCCGTGCCCACTTAGCACAGGGAGGGGTCATTCACTGCCATGGGAATAATGGGATATTGGGAATAATGGGATCAATGGGATCAATGGGGTTTCGTGCCCCCGTAGCACAGGGAGGGATCGCTCACTGCACAGGGATAACGGGAAAAAATCAGGAATAATGGGATCAATGGGATCAATAGGGCTCCGTGCCCACGTAGCACAGGGAGGGATCACTTACTGCCGAGGGAATAATGGGAATAAATCGGGAATAATGGGATATTGGGAATAACAGGATCAATGGGGCTCCGTGCCCACGTAGCACAGGGAGGGATCGCTCACTGCCATGGGATAACGGGAAAAAATCAGGAATAACAGGATCAATGGGGCTCCGTGCCCACGTAGCACAGGGAGGGGTCACTCACTGCCATGGGAATAATGGGAATAAAGCGGGAATAACAGGATCGATGGGATATGGGGTGCCGTGCCCACGTAGCACAGGGAGGGATCGCTCACTGTGCAGGGATAACGGGATATTGGGAATTATGGGATCAATGGGATCAACGGGATCAATGGGGCTCTGTGCCCACATAGCACAGGGAGGGATCGCTCACTAAAACAGGGATAACGGGAATAAATCGGGAATAAATCGGGATCAATGGGGCTCTGTGCCCACATAGCACAGGGAGGGATCGCTCACTAAAACAGGGATAACGGGAAAAAATCGGGAATAACGGGATCAATGGGATATAGGGCTCTGTGCCCACGTAGCACAGGGAGGGATCGCTCACTAAAACAGGGATAACGGGAAAAAATCGGGAATAACGGGATCAATGGGATATAGGGCTCTGTGCCCACATAGCACAGGGAGGGATCGCTCACTAAAACAGGGATAAAGGGAATTTGGGATCAATGGGATCAATGGGGCTCCATGCCCACGTAGCACAGGGAGGGGTCACTCACTGCCGAGGGAATAATGGGAATAAATCGGGAATAACGGGATCAATGGGATCAATGGGGCTCTGTGCCCACATAGCACAGGGAGGGATCACTCACTGCAGCGGGAATAATGGGATATTGGGAATTATGGGATCAACGGGATCAATGGGGTTCCGTGCCCACGTAGCACAGGGACGGGTCACTCACTAAAACAGGGATAGCGGGAATTTGGGATCAATGGGATCAACGGGATCAACGGGGCTCCGTGCCCACGTAGCACAGGGAGGGGTCACTCACTAAAACAGGGATAACGGGAAAAAATCGGGAATAACGGGATCAATGGGGCTCCGTGCCCACGTAGCACAGGGAGGGATCACTCACTGTGCAGGGATAACGGGAAAAAATCGGGAATAACGGGATCAATGGGGCTCCGTGCCCACGTAGTACAGGGATGGATCACTCACTGCCATGGGAATAATGGGAAAAAATCGGGAATAACGGGATCAATGGGATCAATGGGGCTCCGTGCCCACGTAGCACAAGGAGGGGTCACTCACTAAAACAGGGATAACAGGAAAAAATCGGGAATAAATCGGGATCAATGGGATCAATGGGGCTCCGTGCCCACGTAGCTCAGGAATGGGTCACTCACTGCCGAGGGAAAAACAGGAATAAATCAGGAATAACGGGATCAATGGGATCAATGGCGCTCCGTGCCCACGTAGCACAGGGATGGGTCACTCACTGCTGAGGGAATAATGGGAATAAATCGGGAATAATGGGATATTGGGAATAACGGGATCAATGGGGCTCCGTGCCCCCGCAGCACAGGGAGGGATCACTCACTGCACAGGGATAACGGGATATTGGGAATTATGGGATCAACGGGATCAACGGGATCAATGGGATCAATGGGATCAATGGGGCTCCGTGCCCACGTAGCACAGGGAGGGGTCACTCACTGCCATGGGATAATGGGAACATCTCGGGAATAATGGGATCAATGGGATGTTGGGATCGGGATCGCCTACGTAGCACAGGGACGGGTTTCTCACTGCACAGGGATAACAGGGACAAATCGGGATCAATGGGATATCGGGATTGGGATATTGGGATTGGGATCAAAGGGATATCAGGAATGGGATTGGGAATGTGATCGGGATCGCTCACTGCCGACGGAGCGGAGGGAACAAATTGGGAATGATGGGATCAAAGGGATATTGAGATCCGGATGTTGGGATCCAGGTTGCTCTCTGCAGCGGGAGCAGAGGGATGGCGGGATATTGGGATCACAGGGATATTGGGATTGGGATCGCTCACTGCAGCGGGATAACGGGATATCAGGGACAGGAGTGGGAATGGGATCACTCACTGCAGCGGGATAACGGGATATCGGGAACGGGAATGGATTGGGAAGGGGATTGCTCACTACAACGGGATCAAGGGATCAAAGGGATGTTGGGAATGGGATCCATGGGATGGGAGTCCCCCGTTCCCGGTCATTCCCGGTGTCCCACTGGTCAGGTTCTTGTCCAGGGGCAGGGATGAAAGGGATGAACTGGATCAGAGGGATATTAGGATCAGGAATGGGATCGGGAATGGGATCACTCACTGCAGCAGGAGCAACCGGATCAGAGGGATATTGGGATCAGGAATGGGATCGGGAATGGGATCGCTCACTGCAGCGGGAGCAACCGGATCAGAGGGATATTGGGATCGGGAGTGGGATCGGGAATGGGATTGCTCACTGCAGTGGGATCAACAGGATCAAAGGGATATCAGGAACGGGATTGGGATTGGGATTGAGATCGCTCACAGAAATCCATGGGAATGGGATCCATGGGAATAGGATGAGATCCATGGGGATGGGACTCCCACATTCCCAGGGACCCCGCATTCCTGGGAACCCCACATTCCCGGGAATCCCATCCCAATGGGAATGGAGATGAAACCCATTGGAACGGGAGTCATGGGAATGGGATCCATGGGAGTAGGAATGGCAGTGGGATCCATGGGAATGGGATCGCTCACTACAACGGGATCACGGGATCAAAGAGAGATCGGGACCAGGAATGGGATCGCTCACTACAACGGGATCACGGGATCAAAGGGATGCTGGGAATGGGATCCATGGGATGGGAATCCCCCATTCCCGGTGATTCCCGGTGTCCCACCGGTCAGGTTCTCGTCCAGGGGCAGGGAGACGCCGACGTCGCAGATCTTGACGCTCTCGAAGGCGCCGCGGACGACGACGTTGGGGGATTTGATGTCGCCGTGGAGCAGCCGCTGCTCCGTGTGCAGGTACTGCAGCGGGAAACGCCGGGAATGCCGGGAATTCAGAGCAGGGACAAATCCCGGATCCAGCCTGGAAACCTCAGGGATGGCTCGGAATCCGTGGATTGGGGGATCTCATGGATCAGCCCGATCCTGCGGCNTGCGCACTCCCAGCAATTCTCTGGGAATTCCAGCCCAGCCCCTCCTCACCCTCCCAGCCAGCAATTCCCTTCTGAGATCCCAAGATCCAAAAACGCCAAAATCCCAGAATCCCAAAACCCCAAAATCGCAACCCGCTGGAATGGTGGCAGGGAGCGGGAATCCCGGCCCCGATCCCAGCCCGGCGTTTCCTGAACTTCCCAGTGTGATCCTGACACTGCACCTCCTCACCTTCCCAGCCAGGAATTCCTTCCCAAGATCCCACCATCCCAAGCTCCCCTTTCCCACTGGAAGCCATTCCCTGCCTCCTGGCCCTCCAGCCCTTGCCCAAATCCCAGCTCTCCTGGAGCCCCTTTGGGATGGGGAAGCGGCTCCAAGGATCCCCTGGATCCTCCCCTGATCCAGCTGCACATTCCCAGCTCTCCCAGCCTGGCATTGGATCCAAACCCATCCCAACTCCTCTCTATGACGGAATTTTGGGATCCAGGGGCTTCACTGGGAATTCAGGACTCCAGGAAGGGTCTCCCTTCCCTTTTCCATCCCCAAATTCCATAAAAATCCCTCCGCATTCATCTTCAGTGCCCTTGATCCCATGGTTTGGGGTGGGATCCATGGACCTTCAATCCCATCCCACTCCAATCCCGCCATCCCAGGGTGCTCCAACCTTTCCTGGGACACTCCCAGGGATTGTTTGGGAATTCCAGCGCAGCCAGGAATTCTTTCCCAAGATCCCACCATCCCAAGCTCCCCTTTCCCAGCGGGAATCCCATCCCATCCCATCCCATCCCATCCCATCCCATTCCCCCTTTCCCCAAATCCCAGAGCCCCTTTCCCACCCGAGCACTCCCCGGATCCCTTCCCCACGCCCGTTCCCTCTCTGTGATTCCCAGCACTCCCGTTATTCCCGTAATTCCCGTTATTCCCGTAATTCCCGGTACCGTCGGATCCGTCCTCGCGGGCCGGGGGCAGGTGGGGCACGCTCAGCGCCAGCATCTCCCAGAGCGTGAGGCC